AATAATGATATCGTCACGATGCCTACATTAACATTTATATATAATATTCGCAATCTAAAGCTACGTGTTTAGATTTATCGCTTAACCAAATACTGGCGTCAGCCGAAAAAGTATAGTTCCTCGTACACTGTTGTAAAATAGAATTCTCACTATGATTTGACTTTTAAAATGTTAATGTGACACTTAACACTGAATAAAAGCCTTATACTTGCTAAGAATAAAAGTCGTTTTATAATAATTGTAATATCTATTTCAGAACGTATGCTACTGGGAGGGATGTGATTATTGATTCTTCAGGAACAATCAAATTTCCTTGTCGTCGATATTTCGTTTTTCCACAACAAAATAGCAATGAAATTCTAAATTCTGATGACGATCCCGTCAAAAACTGACAACGATCACTATTTTGACTCTAACACGGATCTTACTTGTGGACGGCAACATATAACGTTAAACAAAGCTGGTCATTTCTTACATCATGGCGTTTTTTATGACAAATCTCGCTTTTGAACAAGCTGTATGATTGTTCTATAGGTATGTATTAAGATATCCCTATTCTCAATATCCCTTTTCTGGAGAGCAACATTCCTTTATCATCAACCAATGTTTACATATCACTCATGATTCGATACCCTATTACCTGTTTCAATACCAATAGAAGAAGACATTTGATTAACCTCCCATAAAATCTTTTCTTATTCTGCCTCTTCTTCTGTTAATAATTTACTTTTGTTTCATCGGATTTTTCAATTATGATTTTGTTAACCTCTCGGTATCTTTGGTTGTTGTTGGTTATTGGGATGCCATATTTTAGAGATACGCTAAGTTGCTTAAATTTATATTTATTGAAGGTCTCTCACTAGTAATTAACAAATCTGGTTATGTCAGTGTATTGGTATTGACCGAGGACTTTTTCGTGTACCAGGAAAACAACTCCCTGAATTCCTACCGATTCACTGTAAAGGTCTCATATACCACTATTTTGTGTACTTTTGACTAGGCAAATGGACTACATAAATTACACTTAAGGAACAATATTTCATCTGTCGCCAAAATGACTTGATAACAGAGTGATCTTGAATAAATCCATACATCAGTGAGCACAAAACAAAGGGACACTTTGATTTAAAGTGTAAATAATATACTGTAAGGTTCTCTGTGTGCTCAATCATCATTGTGCAGTTAAATGCATTTACTATTAAACCACTATTTATGACTCCGACCCAACCTTCACTCCCTCTAACTCCAAATTAAAACAGAATCATTAGTTATATCTCTGTTTCCTCAATTTCAAAATTGAAAAACATATATTTTTTATTGTACTTCATTTTCTAGTTTTCCTGGTCATTCTTTTTGTTTAATGATTTTTCCTATTATGTTTAATACCTGGATATATAAAACAATACCTGTGGTCAAAATGTACCTAGACCGTTCGTAAGCCTCATTTCTGTCGTATCTAACTTTAATTTTAGATATGAAATTCAACTTTTTTGCGTTACTGATTATCGAAACTTGGGAGATTGTTTGCACCAGAAGTTGGTTTTAATTCGCAAAAGTACCTGTCTGACTAACATCTCTGTAGTCTGGAAGGTATCTATAAGCATGCGGAATATTTCAGTATTTTACATTATGATACCACTGTTTTCACAGTGTGTACTCGGTCATGCTATACTCAATAATATTTATAAAATAATTGTATAAAATCTAAGCTGTCGTTTATAAATCTTTGTAAACATTCCTACAAATAACAATATTAAAAATAAATAGCACATTGAATAACAAATTATGATCACTTTTCAGTTTTACACTGTAAATGTTCTTTCATAATTGGATAATTACCTGTTCTAAACATTCCGCCATAACGTATCTCGTACCGCCCCAGTCTGTACACAGCCCTTTGTATAAACAAAGTGATGCCCCTACTTATCTCCGTATGTCTACCTTCTTTACATCCCAGATATCATCTTTAATGTCAGTCGCGTGACAAGGTTCTTCCTTTGTTAGTTTTAAATGGTGATATAATAGTTATGTAACTATATTTTCTCAGACAACCTTAGCATGACAGACATCTGTATTGTTGGTTGCTATGGTTACAGGATACACATTTTCTCAACAGGTAAATATAGACTTTCTTTCATAGTGTTCCTCTTCCCGATTCCAAAAGGGTTAGTATAAAAAATGAAAGTACATAAACAAATCTGATGACGAAAGGAATGTTAACCGTCGCTAAACATCAACTTGTAAACTTTTGATGTCCATGTCTAACAAAGTTAAAAGACTTGTTCAGTTCCTAGAATTATCCTGGCAACACCTTCTCGCCAAACATAGCTAGCCGTTTCTGTGATTGATGTTAAAGGTAAACATTTGGTCGAAACGCAACACATAACAGTGCCAAACCCGCACAGCATAGATACCATGGTTGCATAAAACAAGCGATACCGATCATGTTACCCAGGAGACGTACTTCCTGATTCCTATTTCATCATTTTTGAATATTTTTGAAAGGTGCACGTTCAGATCAGTTCATTTCTTAGGATATCTTCAATGTGATCCCAGTCAAAACCAATATGAGTAAAGGTAGGCAATCTTTGCATGCTAAGATATCATGTAAAAAAAGTAAAACTTACGGAGAAATTTAAAACAAGATATATGTCTCACATCTTTTCTTTTATCTCTAATGGATTTTCTGTTTGGTCATTTTTGTTCATTTATCGCCTATATTTAGAGCTTGCCGCCTTGTCAAGAGTCTTACAGATGAAATACTTTACACATATCCTCATCACTGACATTTCCGTCGTTATGTATTAACAATGTATTACATTTTAAAGAAAATGCACACTCATGATCAGATTTGTCTAAACAGATTGCTTACATATGCCTATGCCCCTATGCGATTTGGATAGATTGTACAGGCACCAAAATGAATTTATTCAATATTATGTGACATCACCAATACTTGCAGACTGGTCGTAAGAATCGTACCCGTTGTCTCTATTACATTAACATAAGAGGTGACTAAAGCTGAGATTTTTCCAAGTCATACCAAACCTTCTGAAATAGCCAATAATTCTACCGACTTAAAACATAGCATGTATGCTCCCTACGTTAGGAATTATTCATACAGATATCGTAAATGTTTGACAGATTATGTCTCACCGTAGCTGACAATGGAGTTTATGTTAGTAACGTTCGCAGTTAAAGAATATTTTTACAAAACCAGATTTTATTACAGCTGATTCGATATAAGTGCATGATAGACATCTACAGCTGATGGAAAGATAATCTGAGGATGCAATAATTTGTGAATGCTATATTGTTATCAATATCCTATTGTAAAATCTATTTGATATGTTTTTTGCTCATTTTTTTCTCTCTGTGATTTCGATTTCTCTATTGTGAATTTTCCATTTCTGGATAGCAACAAACGCCTGCATCCCGAAACTATAGTGACTACACCTCACTACGTAACACAGGTTACGAAATGCAGGTCGATTGAAAATTAAATGAAACTTTTTCGTTCGTCATAGTGTTCTCATTGAGAAATATTCAATTTCTTTGTGTGTATGAAGCTAGACTCTTTATGCTCGTTAGTTTGCCTGTTGTTTCCGTTGTTGTATACCTTGTTCTCATATGAAAACGTGACATGAATTGACCAAGGTTTACATGGTGAGTGTCGTCGATAAAGCAGAAGACGCATACTCTTCAGGAAGCTCCGTGTAAATTTGTTATCCATATTTTGCCCTAGTTTTACTGAATTTAAGTTCAGATTATGCGTATGTTGATATTTTGGTATTTTCTTGTTGTTTTGTGTAACTTATCCTGTTGGATTTTGCTATCATATACAATAATCTTTTCCGAAGATGTCATATTATTTGGATAAACCTTGATTAACATAGACGATGTCGATTAAGCCATTTTGTGATGCTATATACTTTTATGTTGTTTTTTCTCAATATCCAACTTTCGGTGTCTATGATTACATTGAAATTTTACCCTCGTTAAACTAACATCGATATTGAACCTGATTTGGTTGAAATTGATATTGAACACTCTCCATTCAATAATTTTAATTTGTCTAAAAATGAATGAAATACTTTTTTTAATCTTAAATAAAAAATTCAGCTACTCAGAGAATGTTATAATTCTAAAATGTTCATACATGTTTCACAATGTTCCAACGTAATTTATAATGTTACATTTTTTTTGGGAAAACTCGATTTAGAAAAAGAGTGACAAGCCTAGTACATAATTCCTTATTCTTATATTTCTAATTTTTGCTCTGAATAATGTATGTGTGGTATTGTTATAGTTTCGAGATAACTTTTGTCTGATAAAATAGATATATTAAGGATCTAAGTTCATCCTATTCAAGATAATGAATTTGAGTGCACGAGTGTTAAATCTAAGTGATTATACTGCAAATACTCTGAAATCACCATGTTCCACAACGCAAACTTCAGACTATACAGAATCCAGCTTAATGATATTTCATTGTAGCGTCTACATATAAAAGAAAGTGAATGCGCTTAATCCAATTTATCTGACTTCCTTGTACATCAAGTATATCTTGTAAATACGTAATACCGTACATAAAAGCGAAGAGACGACATTATAATTGAAATACAATAATTATGACATTATACTGTATTAAACATACTGGCTAAAACCTGTCGATCAAAGTAGGCAAACAGCCAAAATAAAGTTAACGACTTCGTGACACCGTGGTAAATGATGAGACATTTAAAAAAGAGCAATTTAATAAGAAAATGTTACCTCCACATAAGCGTTATATCAGAAGTGAATTTTACTGGTACGCAGATTCGTTATAACAGGACCTGTTAATGACATTAAGGGTTTGGATTTTGATACCAGGGGGAGGGGGATAGAAATGTCATTCTAAACGGAGGTGCATTAGCCACAGAGTCAGAAATGAAAGAAATACGCGTGGAAGAATAACCAAAATTCGCAGTATAACAGATCATGTACAACAGCAAGCTTACCTTTTGGAACTGGATTTTTTCTTGTAAGTTGTTGTTTTCTGTCGTGTTCATATCATTAATTGTATACACCATTTTGTATCCTCCTATCCTGAAAACAGGCATAGATATAATACTTGTTATATAAATATGGATATTTCAAATAACTATAACTTTTTCGATAATCAATTTCATTTGGATAAAATTCTGACATCGTCTTGGATCCTGAAAACAGGCATAGATATAACACTTGTTATATAAATATGAATATTTCAAATAACTATAACTTTTGCGATAATCAATTTCATTTTGATAAAATTCTGACATTGTCTTGGATTGATATATTGTTTACACATCTGATATAGCAGAAAAAATAAGATACTTAATTGATAACAATGTAAACTCATTTTAGTAAAATTTCAATACCTTAACAAAGAACCATTATTGAATAAAATTGAAGTGATAAATTTTTAATCAGTATTTCATTCTTGACAAAGTAAGTTGTTGTACATGTAGTAATGCTCAGATATAACAGAAGATGTCTCCTTAAGAACAAAATATATAAATTGTTCACTATACCTTGTCAGTTATGTGTATAGGTGACAGATATATTGTAACAAAAAGTGGATAGTGTGTGATTTCTTATTGTCATATTTATTTCCGAATGTTTATAACAAAATAAATCATTTGATCAAGCGTGATCTGTTTCCGATTGGATTTTGGGTTTTTTTTCTTTTTTCTTTTTTTTCTAGACTTTTGAAATACATCAATGATTTTTTAATTACATAAATGAATAATCCTGTATCTCGTAGTATTGCTTTGTTTTTATATCAGTATTTCCGTAAACTTTGAGAATTCTTAAAACTGAACTAACAGCAATCGCGTTTTGTTTATTCAAATATAGATAATAAAGTAGAAGATTATTTTCAAAACGTTGATGCCTATAATATCATATAACTTGCCTCGTCCGAAACCCTTCCGTCGATCATTTTAATCTCGAAGTTTTACCGTACATATATATATTTACATCAGGGTTACACTCCTTAATGAGGTAATGACGTCATGCTGTAGAGTCACTCTTATATCATCCCACACGTGCATTCCAAATATTGATGACGTCATTAAAACATACCGACTTCACACGCGAAAAAAAATCCTATGCTGTTTTGATCACTTTAAGGAATTTGGCGTAGGAAATTATTTATCCACAACAAATGTATTATGAAGGAGTTCCGGTCATAATCAACCTCTCGAAAACTTTAACGATAATGTGTAGTTTTGAAACTACTGGTCATTTTCTTTAATGATGTTGGTGACGTAGATAATTAAGACTTACAACATCAAAGTTGTATACAATCCTTTGTTTGGATATGTACTTTCACAAGTATAAGTCTACATGGATACAGTAAACAACACAGCATCAATTAATTGCTTTATCGTGTGTAGTTGTCCGGATTCTGACATATGTCTGTGTCATTATGCTCATACGAATGTGAGAGAAAGTAGATACTCCTCCACCAGTTCATACTGATAACACCTACATCTGTACCTACCCTTTACGGAATTTCCTCGCTGAACCTTCTGGCGGATGTCGATCAAGATTATTCATGATGCTGACCAGGCTGGGATGTACAGTATATAACGGGTGAGTTTGTGAGGTCAGTTTAGGGTGTAGGCCTCTTTCACAGGTAAGACAAACGACTACAAACGGGTATAATAGGTAAACGAAAGTATCCGATGGGTCTTTATCGGTGTTTGCAGATGAAAACACCCTGATAAGGCCGGGTGCGCATTCCTACTGTGGAGCGATCCGGCCGTGTCTACTGGTGGTGAGAAGTGGCATGTGGAGGCTTATCTTCGGGGGCGGTCAGCTCTTCTGTAATGGATGCCAGAAAATAAGTTTATAATTTGAAGATATTAAAGATAAACATTCCGAGGTGTTGTTGACACAGAGAAAGTGAAATGATATTGACTTAGGGTAAAGTGATAAATATCTCTTCATATTTCTGGTTAATTACTGACCAATGAGTATGATATGAGTAAACGGTAGTGAACGTTATCAGTGAAATATTGAGGTGATTGTGAAATTGATTAAAAACTTATATTGTAGATGGGAAAAAATTGGATATACAATTAGGTAGAGCATCGAACAAAGTTTTGACATTTTGTAAGGCTGTACTGATTAAGCATTAACAAATAGGCAGCAGTAATGCGTGAGAACACAATATATAAAGATATCTTGTGAGCTAACATCTTATCCTTCATTTAATTGTTTATTGGAATTTACAACAGTGACTAGTGATTTATGCTAGGTCTTTTATCATTACGTGCGCGTGACACTCTCTCTTAATGTTAATAATAAAAGTTGTTATTTCACTTTAAATACTTCCCGGATCTTTTAAAATATTTCCTGGATGTTCTAAAATATTTACAAACACACGCTTGCCAGAACCTAAAAAGCTGTTGAGATCCTTTGTTGAAATTCTTTTTACTTTGTATATAAAGACATATTTCAAGTCGTTACGTCATGATTACAAAAAAAATATAAATGGTTATGTTTAACTTGTGGAATATCATCACGCGACTTCTTAAAAAGTTTGCAGAGAGTGCTTTCTTTTGTTATTGATTTCAACACTAGCTTTGATAAAGCGACACAAGGAGATACACATATACTTGACATAGTTGCGTGGCAAATGGTTGGAAATGTTCGACTCCCAAAAGGCTTATACCGCGACAGATTAGTATAGTTGCAAACTTTGTTATTTTCCTATCAGATTGTCCCTCCCAAACCACTTCATGTTTCAAAAATGTACAACAGGAATGTCCGTTGGAGAGTTTTAGTGTTGTGGTGGCTTAGTATGTGCTGTTTAGTATCAAGGTGACCTTTTGTCGCCAAACACTGGTAGTCTTATGTCGAGGTGTGTCTTTAGATTTGATACTGAAGTAATTATCTATATTTTTGATCAACAGTGATACAACAAAGCACGTGTAATCATGTATTTGTTAACTCTAGGATTGTGAAAAAACAAGCAATAACAATTTTTAATGCAAATTTGAAATTAGATACAGTAGAGCCAAAATACGGACTAAACTGCGTCGTATAGATCTCTAGTCCGTCTAGGAATCCTCTGTGATGTTAAGGGCCTAGAATTGGAATTCAATACGGCGTTTGAATCATGGCAGAGGAGAAGGGGCCTACAAATACTTAGTAAAGCATGTATGACTAACAGTGAAATCAGATCATCCTCTCAATTCTGTCTTCAATCCGCATTATGCGAATTGTGATATCAATATCTAAATATTTGTAAGTCCATAAGTATGTTTTGTTGCAAAAAAGTGATTATTCCAAATATGAAATTGAAAGCTATAGGCTTTGTCTGGTGATGAATATAATTTGTCTGCCGTCTAGAACAATTAAATGGTCCCAGAAGTCTAAGGCATTGTGCATTGCAATCATAGAAGTTAGAAATGAAAAAAAAAGACAAATAAAAATCAATTTACAGTTAAAACACTTTTGGGTACTAGTGGTTAAAAATGAAAGAAAAAAATATGAGTTCGAAACAAAATTTTAAAGATAGCGTGTAGCCAGATAATTATTTATAGGCATATTAAATACTTCATGCTTAACTTATTACAAAATCATTGAACGACTATGATATATCAGTCAATTTTATTGTTTAATTCATCAATTTTTAACCATTAATAACTAGTGTTTTCGAAATTAGCAATAGGAAGGGTACTTAAAAATCGAGTATTTGTATGATTAACTTTTTTTTGTATTGACACCACAAAACAAACATATCTGTATACATAAACACCCAACAGGTCCAGGCTCCCTGCTAGGTTTTAGTCAGAGACAAATATTACATTTTATATATCAAAGTAACAAGTACAGAGTGGTATGCATGGTCTGCAAAAAAATCTTAAGCTCAATATCAGTTATCAACTCATGTTGAATATTATATTATTATAATAACTGGCAAATTACCTACTGATAGTAACATGAAATATTAAAAAAAACCTCATACGTAGGTGTCATTTACAAACATATATAGTTATATATGTATATATATAAACTTAATTGCTTTATACATACTATGCATATACCACCTAACATACATAGGTCTTCTTTTTCTACACTACATGTACATGTTTATACATGACACAGATAAATACATGACAAGAATAAAAAAAAAAAAAAAACTTAAAGAGAGTAAGTTTGAAACAGGGTATACGTATAAGACTCATGAGACTATGAAAAGGTTGTCAGGGGGGATTATTCTGTATGATTAACTTGGTTCTTTGTCGACTGAACAGTGATAGATAACGACTAAGATAATATCCTGTAAATGTTGACTCCATCTTTTACTATTTGAAAAGCTATTGCTTTTTTATGACTTGAGTGACAAACACATCCCTTTTACTTCAATGATTACAGACACAGAATCCTTAATGACTAGTATCCTAAATATCCTAAATATGTTATTGAACACAATGAATTATATTCACTGTTATTAAAACCTTTGACTATTCTTAATGAGAGAGAAAATAAAGATGTATTACAAAGTTATAAAGTACAACAAGGCAATGATATAAGATATTGAACATTCAAAAGTTGTCTGATACAACAATTCAAGTGTCACTGAGACCCCTACAAATATATCATGTTTATCAAAATGAAATATATTATTAAAATCCAAACATATAATTACGTGACCTGCATTTAAAGATCATCTTTAATAGATAACGGAAGAAAGGCGACAGGCTTTATCAACAAAATCGAAATCAGACTAAAACATGTGCCAAGTTTATTAAATATTCACTCATCAGACCTGCATCTGTAGTCTGGCCAAGATTGTACGAGTCTGCTCACGTGACATTCCCCTCCCTACCGATATCTACCTCTCCAGGCAGAGGAGGTACGATAATACATATTACATGATATATTTAGCGGACACATTACCGTTGACCTACTGTAGAAGTAAATCGGTTAGCATGAAGTTTACCCGTACTTGTGTTACATATACTGCAGTAATTTTTGTCATCACTAGTTATGTAAACTAAGAATGACACGTCAGTTTAGGATCCCATTAAGC